ATAATATTTAATGAGAATATTTTGCTATGACTGCTTAAATATTCAGGTGAGCGATACAGGCCCTCTTGGGCCTCTTGTCTATGAGGTGGGGGTATTAGTTATCAATTGGCTTACAGTTCTATTTTTATGCCCCCACCATAAAATGGGGGGCATATAGTGTTGCCCATGTCCCTCTCGTCCCGTCCAGTCCCGATTCAATGTAAACACCCGTCCCGACGCGTCCCGTCCCGATTCAATGTAAACACTTAACAACTTCATTCATGACAGATTTTGGTCAAACTTTATACAAAGGTACAACCCTCCATAAAATGGGTTGCAATATAGTGTTGCCCATGTCCGTCCCATCCCGATTCAATGTAAACACTTAGCAACTTCTTTCTTTGACAGATTTTGGTCAAACTTTATACAAAGGTCAAGCATGAGTATACTTCGGATATCGTTGTGTTTCAGGGATCCAAGGTCAAGGCCACACTTGCTATATATAGATAATCATCAACTGATTCAATGTCAACACTTCATTCTTTAATGGATTTTGGTCAAACTTTATAAAGGTCAAATATGGGTATACCTCTGACATCCTTATGTTTCAGGATGGTAATAACATACAGAAAAAACATGTGAATATTAAAATCAACTTATCAACTTTTAGTGAAGTACCTTTTGTGTGTGTGTGTGTGCATGTTTCAGGGTATCAAGATCAAAGTGGTTGTAACTTTTTATAGAACGCTGAAACTAATTTCACATGGCAGCGGGGGCATTTATGTCTTACAGACATTTTCTAGTCTATGAGAGTGGGAGGGTATTAGTTATCACTTAGCTTACAGTTCTAGTTTATATTGGAGTGGGGGGTATTAGTTATCACTTAATTTTTTGGCTTACAGTTCTCGTTTATATGAGAGTGTGGGGTATTAGTTATCACTTAGCTTACAGTTCTAGTTTATATTGGAGTGGGGGGTATTAGTTATCACTTAATTTTTTGGCTTACAGTTCTAGTTTTTATGAGAGTGGGGGTATTAGGTATCACTTGGCTTATATTTCTAGTTTATATGGGAGTGGGGGTATTAGTTATCACTTGACTTACAGTTCTAGTTAGGTCACCTGAGCTTTGCTCAAGTGACCTATTCCGATCACTATCCGTCCGTCGTCGTGCATAAACTTTTTTACATTTTCAACTTCTTCTCAAGAACCAGCGAATGGAATTTTTTCAAACTTGATCAGAATCATCCTTGGTAGATGAGGCTACAAAATTGTAAAATTGGGATTCCTACCCCAACCCCTGGGGCCAGGGTGGGTCCTCAAAGGGAAAATTAACCAATATTTCAAAAATCCTCTATTTGAGACTCAGAGAAACTACAGTCATTTTCTCTGCATGGATGGAAAGATTATCAAGGGTTTTATTTAAATTGTAAACATCAGGACCCCCGAGACACCCATTCTCCCTTGGGGAGGGGGTAAAGTTTACTATAGTTTATATAGGGAAATAACACTTTTGTGTATATTTTTACAATTTTCTGTAGAAAATTATTCTTACTTGGTGAGAATTGTCCTTGGAGGAAGATGGTTTTAAAATGTAAAATTGGGATTCCTACCCCAACCCTAGGGGCCAGGGCGGGCCCCAAAGGGAAAATTAACCAATATTTCAAAAATCTTCTTCGCCAGTCTCAGAGGTACTACAGTCAATTTTAGTGCATGGATGGAAAGATCATCAGGAGCTTTATTTAAATTGTAAATTTCAGGACCACTGAACTATTTGTTCTCCCTTGGGGAGGGGGTAAAGTTTACTATAATTTATATAGGGAAACAACACTTTTGTGTATATTTTGACAATTTTCTGTAGGAAATTATTCTTACTTAGTGAGAATTATCCTTGGAGGAAGATGGTTTTAAAATGTAAAATTGGGATTCCTACCCCAACCCTAGTGGCCAAGGGAAAATTAACCAATATTTCAAAAATCTTCTTCTCCAGACTCAGAGGTACTAGAGTCATTTTCTCTGCATGGATGGAAAGATTAGCAAGGGCTTTATTTAAATTGTAAATATCAGGACACCCGTGACACCTGTTCTCCCTTGGGGAGGGGGTAAAGTTTACGATAGTTTAGAAAGGGAAATAACACTTTTGTGTATATTTTATCCATTTTCAGCAGAAAATTATTCAAACTTGGTCAGAATCATCTTTGGTGGATGAGGGTGTTACAGTGTAAAATTGGAATTCCTGCCCGATCCCCATGGGCTAGAGCGGGGCCCCAAAGGGAACATTTACCAATATTTTAAAATTCTAATCATTTGATGACATGACAAGTATTGTATTTCACTTAGTTTACATGCTGATTTCCACATCACATCTAAACAATAAAATAAAGCTACCAGTACCTATGATATAAATCAGGTGACCGCTAAGGCCCTTGGGCCTCTTGTTTATATGATAGTGAGGGAATTAGTTGTCACTTAGCTTACAGTTCTAGTTTATATGAGAGTGGAGGTATTATTTATCACTTGGCTTACAGTTCTAGTTTATTAGCTCACCTGGTCCAAAAGACCAAGGTGAGCTTATGCCATACCTTGGCGTCCGTCGTTCATCCATCCGTCCGTCAACAATTTCTTTGAAATGGTTAATATCCCCAAAACTTTATATACAATTGTTGGGCATAAAGAGACGAATGCAGTCATGATATTAGAATTGATCCCAGGATCTGCCCCACCCTTGCAGACTTGGCCCCTGGGTCATAACTTTGAAACAGTTGAGATCCCCACCCCAAAACTATATATACAAATGCTGGGCAAAAAGAGACAAATGCAGTCATGATATTAGAATTGATCCTGGGGTCTGGCCACAATCATAGGGACCTCGTTTCTGAGTCACAGATTGGAAACAGTTGAGATCCACATCCCATAACCATACATAAAATTGCTGGGCATGAAAAATCGAATACAGATATATATGCTACAAGGATTGGACTTGGGGTCTGGCATATTCCCATGGATCTCATTTGGAGAATATTCTGCCATGATTGCTTAAATATCCAGGTGAGCGATACAGTCCCCATGGGCCTCTTGTATTGGAGTGGGGGGTATTAGCTATCGTTTAGCTTACAGTTCTAGTTTTTAGCCCACCATCATCTGATGGTGGGCTATTCAAATCACCCTGCAATTTTTGAGACTGATCGGATAAACAACATGGCCGACAGGCAGCCATCTTAGATTTTGATAGTGAAAGTTTGTTATCGCTATTTCTCAAGAAGTACCAGAGGGATCTTTCTCAAATTTTATATGTAGGTTCCCTTTGGTCCAACATGGCCGACGGGCAGCCATCTTGGATTTTGATATTGAAAGTTTATTATCGCTATTTCTAGGGAAGTATCAGAGGGATCTTTCTCAAATTGTATATGTAGGTTCCCCTTGGCCCCTTAGCTGTGCAGGGCAACTTTTGAGATTGATCAGATAAACAACATGGCCGACAGGTAGCCATCTTGAATTTTGATAGTGTGGGTTTGTTACCGCTATTTCTCCGGAAGAACTAGAGGGATCTTTCTTAAATTTTATATGTAGGTTTCCCTTGATCCTAGCTGTGCAGGGCAATTTTAGAGACTGATCGAATAAACAACATGGCCGACAGGCAGCCATCTTTGATTTTGATATTGAAAGTTTGTTATCGCTATTTCTCGGGAAGTATCAGAGGGATCTTTCTCAAATTTTATATGTAGGTTCCCCTTGGTCCTTAGCTGTGCAGGGCA